TGGCACTTGACAATCCCCATTCCCCCGAATTTCACTAAGGTGTAGACTAAAGTCTGATTTTAAAGGGTTGTTTATTTCACCTCAATTAATCAGAATCTGCAAAGTAACTCAATAAAGTACTGGAGTAAAAATTACCCACGTTAAGCGCTCGAATTTGTAGTGGATCAGAACAAAGTAGACTGCTGCTGTAACAAAAACATTTCCCCCCTCAACTTGGGATCAATGAAGTCATATCCGTCATCTTATCTACTTCAAGATGATCAGAGTGCTACTGCCATACTTTGCCAAAATGTGCCTTCTGAACCTTGAAAAGTGATGTTTCCAAGTGACCCAAGGACTGGACCGGGGGCTGGCACCCGTCCACATTCCCATGTTTTGGAAAGTCTGCGGTGAGTTCCATTCCATTTCATAGAGTCTGTGACCGCTCAGCGCTAACCTTGTCCGCACTCCACTCCAACATCCAATCTCAGGGCTGGATGGACCTCAATCACCGGGGTTTTGTAAAGCAACACGGCGGATGTTGTAGCTCCCAAAATGATTGCTGGTGTGTTTGTCTCAGAACTGTAGTTCACTTACCTCGAAAAAACTATTTGTTTCTCTGAATCGAAGGTTAAAAACACAAAAGCATTGTATCACAATTTTAACCGAATCAATATTGTGTATCTACGGGATACGACACACCGATGTTTTTTAGTGCGATTAGTTAATGCAGATATCACTGTTACATCATCTTGACCAGATCGAGGGAGGAATATATCCCGGTTTTTATTATGAAAACATTGACCGGAAAACCTGTTTTCCACCCCACGCTAACTTTACATGGAAGCCATCACACATTCATCCCTGGCGCCACCCAGACCAATCATCTTTCCCTCACACTCCACCTATCAAACTATAGATCCTATTCGACTGGACGTGATTCCTAATAGTACAATATACATTTCATCCGCCAGAAATCGAAATCAAAAAAGCTTTTAATGGCAAACTATTCACAAATTTAGGCTTTTCCAGAGAGAGATTATTCTATCTTGTGAATAAACGTCCCTCCGGAGCGTTTGCAATGAACGGGCCGGGAGCATGTTGTTTCTTACACGACCACTAGAGCACCTCTAGTGGTCGTGTAAGAAACAACATACACTTTAAAACGTGTCTCTGGGTCGTAATAAGGGCATGAACAATCGGCCTATATGGTCGTTTTTCGTAGGAGGACAGGCTGCTTTAATTGTTTGAGTTTTTATTTGATGAAAAAAGCAATCATAAAAATCAACGAGGATAATATGCAATGGCAAGAAATAAGGTAAATTCACATTCATTTCCTGATAAATCTCACTAATGCTCAAGTATTCTTCATAATCAATACAATACACCTGGTCACAAAGGAAGCTTTCCCTAATGGAGAGCACTTGTTCATGATCATGTCTAGTACCTGAACTCTATTGACATTCTGATTACTGATTCTGATCTTAAAATGTCTAAAGGTGCTGTGAAAGCGTTTGTGCCCATATGTTACCCTGAAAAAGATAATGCAGGATTAGTAGAAACCTAAAAGCAGAGAATAAAGAGCAAATTTGCATCGGTTTTATTCAATAATTATACTAAACCAATTCTTATAGATCTGAATGTATCTCAGGGAGTTATTGTGTCCTCTCTAAAGGCTAACATCTGCATCGCTCATAAGAAAACATGCCGATGAGTAGCAACGTTTACCATGTTCATCATCTTAGTTTGGCATGTTAGCCTTTTTACATTTGTTGATTGCACGTAACACGGAAAATCTCATTTTTGTAGGTATTTAGTCATCATTGAAATGTTGACTGATCGTGTCGCTAGAGAAAAGGTCCAGAAATCACCATCCTCTGGACATCACAAAAGCCTGCACGAAATGTAATTGCAATCTAAATAGTGAGATGTTATAGTCTGATTTAAATGGGTGGATGAACCTAACAACAGACCAACATCTTAATTTTCTCATGAGACATGCAGCTACAAAACAAATTACACTGGCTGAACTATTTAAAAAATGTTTCTCCCATTGTACTCGAAAAGGTCCATGCTTTAAACAAGTTGCCCTCCAACCCACACTTGCATGACAGCATCTGTGTTCTCAAATGTTAATTTTACTGAAAAGGATAAATAAGCATATTGTTGCAAAGGTCCCCAACTTCTCCTACTTAATTAATCTGTAACATCTTCCTCCTTGTGTTGATCATAACATAGCTTAGAATCAGAATCAGAATATACCTTTATTACAAAGAGCAGTTCCCTTTAGTCCCTAAACCCCTGTTTACTGGGATTTGAATACAATGGAAATGCTTCTTGTTATTTTGTCTTATCTAACTGATGTGTTGAATAAGGTGGATGCTCACACACTGAGATCGATCATGTTGCAATGTGCATATGTCATCAGTTCACATCAAGTGACCCTAGAAATTGAATATAGAGTGAAGCATTCACCGGCGAGCAACCCATGACTTCAACAGTTATCACTGGTTGTTTAATTAGTCACCTAGACAACCGTTTAGCAGGCTTTATCAATTCCTTTGTGTGTCGCTGTGTGTGTGTCTTCCAAGGCCGAATTTACCATATACATTGGGGGAAACACATCCCCCCCAATATTCAGATACGCTCAAAATGTCACCCCCCCCCCAATACATAGAACTGATATACATTTAAAAAAAAAAAAAAATTGCTATTCTATCACTTTTTAATTTGTTTAATTGTTGGTCCCCCCCAATGTTGACTCCATGGTTACGGCCTTGGTGTCTTCCTCTAGATTCTTGAGTGAGTGATTCAGTCCAAGGAGCCTATGTCAAACGTGTCCTCCTACTCATTTGGTGGGAATGTTTGTCTTTGTTTCCGGTCTGTTGGTTCAGTGTATTCTTCACGCAGGCTGTTTGTAAATTGCTGTGGCCTTGGAGACAGCCACACAGCCTCACAGCCTCACTCCTCTCATTTCCTCGGACCCCTGCTCTCCTGCTCAGTGTGAGCGGCACACTGTGCAGTTCTCGTAAAAATAGAGTGCACAGCGCATCCCAGCCAGTCCTCCTCCTCGCTCTCTGATTCTCACATCAGGATGGATCTACCCTCCTAGCAGTGCACAAGTCTACTCAGACAGTTTGCAAGTTGGGCTCTCATTTAGGAGTGAAGCAGGCGCTGAAACTAACGTCTCTTCTCCCGCTGAAAATATTTCCTTCACCTCTGCGCATCAACTTGGCTTTAACATGATGGCAGTAAACGGGATACGATCGCGCCTTTTGCTCCTGCTCTGCTTTATGTCCACGGCAGCGGGCAATATGTTTGCATACACCGAGGAGCCCTCCGAGAGAGTGGGGAAGGGAGACGGGTATTGTAGTCGGATATTACGGGCTCAGAGCAATCGGAAGGAGGGCAACAATGAGTTTCGCCTCCGCGTTGAGGGAGACCCGGAGACCTATCATCCAGGGAGCACATACAGAGGTTGGTGTTTATCCGCCAGATTTACGCACACTGCGTTGCGACTGTGTGCTCATTGTGAGAGAAACACTAGTCCAAGGACAGTCGGCTATGCAAACTTAATATAAGTTTCCTCAGTCTACTTTTGATGCGACGTTAGTGTATGTGCTCTGTAAAGTAAACTATGTGGTCAGTAAAGAGATGATCCTGCATCCCAACAAGGATGAATTTAAGCTGTAAAGGAAAAAACAAAGCTGACAGCCATGAGTAAATAGTACGACTTAAAAGCTCTTTTATTATAACAAATTAAAAGGTTGTGGAGCTAAATCCCTCTGCGAACCCTTCAATACTTTTTCCAATTCTCTTTCATGGTTAAATTCATTTTCTAAAAGCCAGCAGTCCCTAATTTCATAGCTTTTGTTCAAATTGGAAGTTATTGGGAGCTATTAATGGGCATGTGCCATCTGCTGTGTGAATCTCAAAGGCTCATGCTGTTTTGGTCTCGACAATATGTTGCTCTGCAGTTAGTCCATTCTTTTCTGATTTCATCATAAATAGATTCATCATCCAAAGCCAATAACTGGGTGTTTTTTTTGCAATCACCATATACTTGAAGTGAGTGGTTTTGAAGTGTAAAAGTCTTATCTCGAGATACTAATACATTGGCTAATTTATTTCCCCCAATTGTAAATGGACATTCTTTTATGTTCTGCTGGATTGCATAAAAAACACCATCTCGATCTACCTCCTCAAAAACTAGAAAAATGTTTGATCGTTGACAAAGACATTATTACAATTATATCAGAATATTTTGACATTTATTCAACTCAGTATTCGTTCTTAATTCAACACCTCTCAGACAGATGGATAATTAAACCCACATTAGTCTTGTGCTAGCAGAGGGATTGTTTTCTCATTATTCTTTCCATCGACTAATGCTTGCTGTCACTCTTGTTTGATTCCATCCAGTGACTGTGATGGCATCCAGCCCCTCTTACTTTAGAGGCTTCACCCTTATTGCCCTAAGAGAGGGTACAGAGGGAGACAATGACTCGGACTACATTGGAAATTTCCAGGTAAGATTGCAACTCACATGACCAATGTTAAAATCTGAAAAGAACTCCAATTTTTATTTTACTCTATTATTAGTGCAGGTACATTGGATACATTGACCTATCCTAGTCTGCCTGACCTGTATTTAAAGCAAGGTACTTAAATGTTAATCCTTCATACCATCATTCCTTTTGATTCCAGCACAAGCACTGTTCATGGCGTATGAAAAGAGAGAAAAAAAAATAGACAGATCTTACTGTAGATTGGGGGATGGGGGTCTTGACAGATTTTCTTCGCACAGCCCTCCTGTCTTCACAGTAAAAGTGTGATTATTCTCACCTCTCTAATAGGCACTGTATATCATATGAAAAGATCATGCTCTCCGCTCAGTTCCAGGTAGCTTTGCTCTTCAGGTTATACACTTGGTTGGTACATTGGGAGGAGTGTGCCCACAAGCAGGCATACGGTTCATTCATGTAGGAAGTGTACAATTTATGTAGTCAAGAGGCTAATAACAATTTTACACTGACAGGCCAAGCTGGAGTATTGTAAGCAGGGAAAAAACTAAGTGAGGGCAAGAGTGCGAAAAAGAGAGAGAGAAGGCAAGATAGCTGGTGCTGCACGTGTGAAGCGGACAAATATGTGAGGCCTTTGTAATTATAATGCAATGTTAGGAGTTGAGTGTTAGAGAGAAGGACATAATTGATTGATGGGGTTAAGTAAGGATAATCATGTAATACAAATATAAACTCAAGACATTATTTTATTTCTAGATGGTACAATGTCTTATAGGTATTATTATTCTATACTGTACATACAGCATCATGTACTGTAATGGTCATCTATGCTATATATATGCATTCAAAGTGTATTACTACAGTATGAGTATCATAGTCATAACATCACATTCATAACTTTGGAATTTGTTCCACTTTTTTGTTCTTCCTGCCAGTATTTATTTAACCAGATCTAAGCTGCTGTTTAAGAATCTCAAAGATCTTAGACTTCTCAAGATGATATCCTGTTTTCAAAGAACTGAGGAACTGGTTTTAGCTTGAGTTTAGTTTAGAACAGTAAAACCAGTAAACCATGGTGATACCACTGTGTAGTTACAAAATAATAATTAAGCCACACATAAAGTTTAAAGCCCAATTACGAGTCCTGCCAAAAACTTGAGATCATATTTCTTCTAATGGCAGACCTTTTAAAGAGCCATTTTTTAAAGTTTTTTTTTTGTTGCCTACCACATAAAACCCTATTATTTTATTAAACATGTACAATTCACTGCAGTTGCTCAAAGCATCCCTCAGGCTTCTCTGATCCCTGCTGCTGTTGCACTCTCTGTGAACTTAAGCCCTGACTATGGTCACATTACATTACACTTCATTAACTGAAGTGCAATAAAGCATAAAGATACAAACTAAGGACAACAAGAAAAATGTGCAGATATACAGTATATACGCTTCAAATAAGCCAAACCATTGTAAGTGCTGTTGCATTAGTTAAAAATGGGCTAAAGTGAAACAAGGGAAACAGGTGGGAATTCGGTTTGCGACGGAAGATAAGCAGACTTTTTGCTGTCCTGATATCAATGGGTAGATCATTTAAAAAAAATTGAGCCAGGATAGCAAACAGGCGTGTCTCTGTTGAGTGGTACCTGGGTCCAAATTGCAGTGAGTGAGTAGCAAGCCGATTGGCTGATGCAGAGCGAAGTGCACTGGCTACAGTGTAAGGTTTAACTATGTCCTGGATGTAGGAAGGATCCCTTCACAGCTTACTAGGCCAGAGTCAGCGTCTTGAAGTGGATTCTTGCCGCCACTGGCAGCCAGTGAAGGGAGTGGAGAAGCCTGTTAGTGTTGACATAAAACAGGAATATTTTGTTGTTGTTGTCCTGCCATCACCCAGCGCCAATACCGGCAATTTCTTTTCCTCTTTTATTTGCCCTTGCAATTGATTTCATGCTGTTGTTATTTAGTGTCAGCCTTGAGCGTGCTCCTTAGCCCTTTGGCGGAGTGTGGCGCGTGTGACAGGGTGATAAACCTCAGCAGTAAAAGACGAGAAGCACTATATCATTTAGTCACGTTCAGTAACTTTGCGTTCCACACGTATATGAGACAGACTGAGGGTGTGTTCCAATACAAATACTATTTAGTATGTATGCTGTTGCATTTTGCACTACGCTTTCCAGCATGTTTTTCTGGCTGCTCTAACATTTTTGCTCTGTGGAGTTATAAGCAAGAGGATTAAAGTTCAAGGTTCAATGTTTTGAGAAATTACTATTTCCCAATAACCCTGCATGGGAACATTAAGTATTTTGTCAGGACGGCTTCAGTACATACTAAAAGTAAATAGAAAAATGATGCTATTTGGAAAGCAGCATGAGTGTGCAAAGAGAATAATAGATAGATGTGTGACCATCATACAGTCTATGGTGAACATAGTCTTTAGATGTTAGCATCAAAAGTAAACAGAATATACATGTCATTACTGGCGCCCGCCTTTGATTAGACATCTGCTAGGTTTTTAGAAGCTGACGGTCTCTTTCACGGCTGCATCAGATGATCTCCTGTTTTGTTACAAGCACCATGTGACAGCGCAGTAAAAATAAACTGCTGTCCAAATAGATATCCCTGTTAGTCTTTTATGTTCTTTGTATTTTATGAAAAAGTACACACACACACAGAGGCACACACAGTAATCTGAAAGAGCCCTGGGTGGGCCGGCCTCCAGGCATTGAGAGAAAATAAAGAAAAAAAGAAGCTGCAACAGAAAACGTCAGGGTTTATTTAACATACAGCTCATTTGAAATCTGTTGGTGTGCCCCATCTCAGCCGTCTCAGGACAGCTCCCGACTTGATGAAAAGCACTTTTATTGAGCTTTCTGGGAAGGTCAGTTGCCACTGTGTGTGTGTGTATGTGTTTGTTGGCAAGAGCGTAACCAGAGGGCAATGCTGGCACAGTCTGATGAGACATTACATCTCAGCAGGGTAAGATTATAGAACAAGAAAAGGCTAATGTGGCTATGTGAGGGGGGAAATTGGTGCCACTCTGGGTGCAACATATGACATAACCGTAGACAAACACAGAACTGAGGTTATTAGTGCACCACCTTTACATAATTTTTCCACAAGGATAATCTGATATGAGGGCAACAGAGATGTTTTTCTTGTGTCCTCTTTGCTAACTGTTCCGTTTAATTTACTCAAAGCTATTTCCCATTTATCTTATTGTTATTATTAGGGTCGGACCAGCAGCTAATGTCGAGCCAATCGCTTATGCTCATGCACAAATTCATGCAATACCCAGAGACAAAACATTTTTGCACATATTTTCCTCATTTCCCTACACTCACTATCCTTCTATTGATACCAGATTTGGACATTTGGAATCAGACACGTAAAAGAAGAAATGGGTCTTAGGTACGTTTAGATTTTTTGAGTTCTTTTTTCACTTTTGCAGATGGTGTTTTATACATTCCCTTGAGACTTCTCTGGTTTTAACATGTGTTGAAGTCCAGTCAGACCACCCCAGGATGCCTGTTAGAAACCATGGGAACATGGAGGGGGGGTTGTATAATCCTTCAGACCAAGCGAGGCTGCATACGCATGCACTGCACGCGTACACACACAGACACAGACACAGACACACACAGCCCCAAGCTCCCCTCCTAACTCTGTCTCTTCCTCTCTTCCTCTCTCTCTCTCTCTCTCTCTCTCTCTCACACACACACACACACACACACACACACACACACACACACACACACACACACACACACACACACACACACACACACACACACACACACACACACACACACACACACACACACACACACACACACACACACACACACACACACACACACACACACACACACACACACACACACACACACACACACAATCCACTTTAGGAATGAACTCATTCATAACATGGCATGACAAAGGAAATTCTCTGCTGACAGCTTTATGGAGTGAGAAAGTCTGCGTCTTTGCTGCCCTGATGTCACTTCCTATCAAACTGATCCTTGGTCTCTGGGCAATGAACATTAGCTCACTGGCTGCGCTCCCCCATGCTACCCGCTCTACTAATTTCCTGTCCAGTTAAAATCAATGAGATGCTCAGTATCTCAGATGTGCACCTGAGTAGAGAGGGCAGCATGTATTTGGACCCTTCAGTTTGACCCTAAATAGACTAGGGACTATTTTGAATGTTGCTCACAGGGATAGGGTCATGATTGGGCGTCCAGACGTTGACTTCCTGATCAATCTGAGTATTCATTCAATTAAATGTACTATAATTCACAAGGAAAGTCGATTCAGTGTCAAGACCTGCGGCCATAGAATCATATGATATGAAAAGTGGAAGTAGTCTCATCCATTCACTCGACTGGATTCATTACTGTGCTGTTTGGTCTCAATTGCCTTAACCATTTTATTTTATACTGGAAGGTCTGAAGGAGCTTGTGTCCTTGTCTCCAACACGCTGAAAATGACAGATTATTACCAAGACAGGAAAAAGAAAAATTAAAATCTCCTATCTCTCCTTTTCTGATACAAAGGTTCCAAACTTTTTTTTGGCTTGTGACCCCTTAACATCTACTTATATTTACAGAATTGAAAAAACAATTTAGAAATTATTTATCTAATATATCATATTCCAATCACTTGTATATAGACTCTTATTGCACTATTTCACTATTTTACTATTTTTCTTTTTGTATTTACTTGTGCTATTTTTTCAGTTTTTCAGTTTTTATTGTGTTACACTGTTGGAAGAGCCTGGGACCTAAGATTTTCATCGTCATAACTACACTGTAGCTATGTACGTATGACTAATAAAAGCCTTGAACCGAGATGGATATGATTGTGAGTTTAACAGCTTTTTCATTTTTAACAGATTGAAAAAGCATCCAGTATGTCACAGTGATGATTGAATAATAATAAACATATTTAATCTGGCAGAAGGTTTTTTGCTTCTCTTCTTTTCTGTTAATCCTATCTCAGTTTAATTTTGTGACCAATTGGTGGACAATTAACTTCAGGATGCTCTAACACAGGGATGGGCAAATGGCGGCCCTCAGATTAATCTATAAACAACGTAACTAACTAACCCTAACCCTTTTTCTTTTTTTTAACTTGTAGTACTGATACCGTCCACTAGACTCCTAGTTACGTCGTGAGCTGCGTATACGATTTCCAATACCGCAAAATAATCTGTGACGCGTTTGTGTATATAGAGAGGCGAAGTCCGGCCCTTCTACTTCCGCCCCATGGGACCTTATTTCGGAAAAGTTATGTATTGAAGTCAATGGGGAGAGAAAGATTATCTTTAGATCCCGTTTGAATTGTGCCACGAATTACATATGATGTTTGTCAATCTTAAAAAATCATTTCCATGTTAAAAAAGTCACAGTTTGTCGTAAAACTGTTGAAATATAAGACTATGAAAAATACGCGACTCTGGACTACTACTACTTCAGTGTTGGCGGCAGTTCCTCATGTTTGTCTAGAAGTCTTCTCATCAAGGCTCTATAAATAGAGAATTACAGCAGATATGTAACATTTAATGCAGCCGAACCGTGTATTACAATGCCGTTATGTGATGACCTCCAAAGAGAAAAGCAAGCACACTCGGAATAAAGTGTTTTCGGTCTGTTTCCGGTATTTGTTTATGACAATGTGATGTGATATGTGACATGTGAGACTGGAATTGCACAGGGGAAAATAACGTATCTATGGCACCATTTTAGATGCGGATTTTGTTAAAACTAATACGTTTGCGCTGTGGACCAACACTATACATTGACGGGGAAGGGGGTAGCAATAAAGATAACACCATTAAACAGTTACACAACATAACAGAAATAATATCGATAGCAGCGTCCCTAGCAACCACCTTGGTAACAATGAAAACGTTGTATAGACACAATTTCCTGAAGTAATCTTCGTAATAACTAGCAAACTAAAGATCATGTACATCCACTGCACACATAATCTGAAATAACAACTCATATTTCTCGCATCAAATGATTTGATGCGAGAAATATGAGTTGTTATTTCAGATTATGTGTGCAGTGGATGTACATGATCTTTAGTTTGCTAGTTATTACGAAGATTACTTCAGGAAANTGGGCATGTTGAGAGCTGTGCATACCCACAAGGGGAGTTAGTCGGTTCCGTAAGAGCCAGCATGCGGGACCGGCTTTACATGGTTTTGGTGAGTAACACGAGTGTAATGTGTAACGTTAATGACATCACTTACTCTGGGATTTGTAGTCTTTCTAGTTGCGTATTTTTCACAGTCTTATATTTCAACAGTTTTACGACAAACTGTGACCTTTTTAACATGGAAATGATTTTTTAAGATT